ATTCAGATTAAATACTGTATTTGAAAAGAAGTTGAGAGCAGCTAAGATTGTCTTACTGAATCTAGAGTCTTTCTTACCGTGACAGAATGAAGTTAACAAAACGCGTCTGATATCGCCTCTAATTATCCTCACCAATTTATATGTAGAAGCAGGAGAACTCACTTAGAAATGACAAACAAACAGGTTACAATTCATTTCATCAATGTGATTGACAGAAGTTACTTGAGAGTGAACGTGATTTCAATATTTCAATGTTTCTTTATAACCTGTCAGTAAATAACGTGGTCCTTTACTACCTTTTGTCGAAGTGGTTGCAATTTATAAGATCAAAAGAACTCAGTTGTCAGTCTTTTATTTTTGTATTGAATTCACTCTTCAGAACTTAAATTTTGAATATTTTATTGCATATTTTCAATTCGATTTCTTCAATCTTGAGTATTTTTTTTTCTTAATTTTAATGATTTTCACCTGTAATCCTAATTTTTTTGTACTTTTTTTAATAATTGACATCAATTTTCATAAATTTCATAAATTTCGATAGTTCTACACCTAGAATTTTCCCACTACTTTACATCTTTTATAAATTCAACCAACCGATCATTTTTTGTTTAAAATTATTCCCTTTTTTATTACCCTTTTATTAATCTTTCCTAATAAGATGTAAAGTATGTACACCGGATTTAAATAATTATAATTATCATTTCCAAGATTGAAACAGCTTGAGGGAAAATTCACGAAATAAGAAGAGATTCTGCTACGCTCAATAATTTATTGATTATTTTTATTTATACTTTCTGTTAAGTTACCCTGGTAATTGTGATTTAATGTACAGTAGGATTCTTGTTGTTGAGGACGTTAGAATTCCTAGAACTCGCTTGATAAATGCCTTATTTTGAATTTCACGTTTGCGAGCATGGGCTGACCGGTAGCCCTTGAGATTTCATTTCGCACCAGGTGAATCCTTGGCTCTGACTGATTGCTGTGTATTTTAGTGTGTTGTTTTTATGACTGTCTCAAGGACGTTTCTATGATGTATAAATAAACGAGATTTGTGTGCTTGATTGCATTTTGCTTGGTGAGTGTTTGTAGAATATACTTTCTACATCATAGCAAGACTTCTATATAGCCGTTTCGGATCAAGTTAGCCTACCTAGACGCTAGTTCATTGTCTAGTTATTAGTTATCGACTAAGGTCAACCTTGTAATAGTTTCAAGCATACCTAGTGACGAACCTAACATTTGTAACCTTTTTCTTATCGTCTTAATGGTTTCTTATGTTCTAATTTATCAAGTTTGACTTTTTGTTTTCATATGCGTTGATCAATTCATGATTTCAAAAAGTAAATCAAATCAGATGTGCTTACTAATGACTAGCTCCGTGAGTAATCTTCTCCGAGTTCTAGTGCGAGGTCGTGACCAGTAGAGTTCGACCCTGTTCGAATGTGAAGTAGTGCTCGCCGAAGATAGTAGATGAAGTTGCGAAAGACCGTCGATTGATCGAAGTTAGAAATTAACACCGTTCGATAACGGCTCAGTGGTCCGGAGGTCAGGCGTTCGCGCTAAAGAATGAAGGTCCTGGGTTCGAATCCCGTGACTTGTATGGGTTGTGGATGCGCAATGCTGATGAGTCCCAAACCAGGAAGAAACGGCAGTACAGCTGTTTCAGGTTTCTAATGATGATCTAACTTTGGTCGATTCATGATTTCAAAAATCGAAAATATGATCAAACTATTTTCGGAAACAGTCTTAGTTGTGCTAATACTTGTGGTTGTATCTTATTCCATTAGTGAAATTACAAGGATACTAAATGTATAACCGGTTTTATTATGCACTATACTTCCTTTCTCACAGATATGGTGTCCCTGACTGACTAAGATAATACATATCCAAACGATGGATCTATCAAGGTGATTTTTCCTGTTATTATTCCATGATTTTTTTCGATTCCTCCGTCTATTTGCCAACAAATATAATTATTCTGTAATGGCTCTGGAACAGCTTTCCTCCGTCCGGTTCTCACCATTTCTAATTTGTCTGGATTGCCCAGTTCCCTACTAAGAATTACTGATTCGTAAATTCTGACTCACTTGATTAAAATCCACAGGGCTAAATTCTCTCCTTAAAACAATTACGCATCATATTTTTTTCAAACAATTTAACCTAATATTATTTGTCTTTTACACACGTAATATTGCATGATATATCAATTTTGATCGCACCCATAAATTGACGAGCATTCTACAATTATTTTCTATGATATAATTTTTTTTATCTCTTTACTGATTAAATATCCTGTATTAGCATAGTTCTGATGAACTTTGTGTTTATCATCCTATTATGCTATAAGAAATATTTTTACTCTCTAAATATACGTGATTTATTAGTGTGTATCATATATATATAATTATGCATAGTTTATTAAAAGGAGGGCAAAAATAATTATGAAAGCCGGTAGTGAACAGAAAATAATTGTTTTACTTTTATGAATGAAGTGACTATTTTAAACTAAGAAATCATTTCGCTCAATATAATAGATATTTCTTTTCAGTAGAAGAGTGAAGAGAGAAAAAAATTGAAAAGACGTTTGCGATTTAATGGTGTTGAATGCTTGTCCATGAGAAAAGATGACGATGTTATTGATAAACATATGGTGACTGTTTATTGCTTAAATAGGAAGCCACATACTTAGTTTGAATTCAACTTAATAAATGAAGAAGGGATAGTGACCACGGGTATGGATTTTCCATTTTAGATCACATTATAAGCAGAGAATTACATTGGCTGGAAATATCCACCGATGGGACTTCGAATATGAGGAGGGAACTTAAAGTAAATTACGCCAATCGAAAATTTGTCCAATAACAAATAGATTTTTAATGATACATACACAATGAACAGTCAAATTTCATCACAAACACTCTCAAAAACTGAGTCCGAACGTATATTGAGTTATTTATGGTCACGTAGGCCCCGGTTGTCATTTTAAGAACTAACTTTCATAAATGTAGTGACTGTCGTCGGATGAACAAGTTTTCTTCATTCGATTCTGTAACATCACAATTTCTCTATTAAATCCAAGTTATTTTTAAAAGTCTCCTTTTAATTTTTGTGGTTAGTTAAAAGATAAACTGAAAAGTAATAATCAATAGACCTAACCAAGAGTCCAATACACGTTTAATTAGCAATGAGGCCCATTTAAGAAATTGTGGTTGTATAGTATGCTCAATATTACTCGACAAATTATACTCCACTCATGAAATCACGAGACTCTCAGATGAATTCAGTATTTTGTTGAATGTATTCTACAAGATAACTGTCTGAACTTTGAGAATTAAGTTTTTCACCTGAAATATGATAATATCTATGATATTTGTATTTCAATAAATAAGTAATATATTTTGACGTCGTTAATATTTCTTACAGTTATTCTAGACTCATAAATAAAATACATAGTTTTCAAATAAAAATAAATTCATTTTATTGACAGTGTTCACAAAAGGATGGTTTCTTTTAATTACAATAACTTATATTTCAAAAACGTGACTATTTGATATTATGTTCAGTGTTATAAATGATATGAAAAAAATTTCATAAATTAGTCTAACCTTGACTATTTTGTTCAATGATATTGTCTAATCATAGATTATCTGAGTTTGTAACATTGATTCTAGTAAACTCCTTGAAAAAAATCTTTCACATAGAAAGACAAATGATAATTCATTTGTTTTATACTGTGGCATATTATATTATCAATAATCGTTCTTTATTTGTTTGGTATTTTTTTCGGTGTGTATTTTTAAATTTACATAAACTATGTATTGTATGGTGGTATACTACTGGGTAAAAAAACAGTAGTTACTTATTTATGCATAATTTTAGAAATTATCAGTAATTCATGATTAATTAAGGAATGAACCAAATTAGAACTAAGTAGTGTATCAGTCGAAAAGTTACAGTTGATTGAATTTGAACTTAATGTCTTATTAAGTAACGTACCAGCTTACTCATTATTAGTATTATTAAGATATAACATTCCCAATTCATACAATGTCTCGATAATCTTGTTGTGTATATCTTCATCTAGTGGACGATTTGTACCAGTTAGTATAAATTGCCAATGATATATACTATTAGTTGAAGCATTATTGTTGGGGATGTTAGATCCCCAGAACTCGCTTGATAAGCATCTTTATTTTGGATTTATTTCATGAGCCGATCAGTTGACCTTGAGATCACATTCCCGACCAGGAAAATTCTTGGCTGTGATTGGTTACTGTGTCATTTTAGTGTGCTATTTTTGTGACTCTCCCAAGGACGTCGCTATGGAGTATAAATAGACGCGATTTGAGTGCTTGGATTGATTGTGTGCTGGCTGGGTATTTGTAGAATACACTTTCTACACTATAGCAAGACTACTTGCTGTTTCAATTTGGTCAAGGGATCACAGTAGCCTACCTGGACACTGGTTCATTGTTTTGTTCTCGTTATTCGACTAAGGTGAACTCGTAATTGTTGGAGCATACTTAGAGACGAGCGTAACAACTATTCAAAATATGGAACGTTGAATAACGTGTTAATCGTAATAAAAGACTCAAGAGGGTGTAAAAAACATGATGGATTCAACCCAGAACGTATTATCCTCCTCATTTTAATCTCAACGTAGTTTAATTCTAAATTACGCTTAACAACATGAAAATGGAAAGAGTACTAAAGGATTCAACTAGCAGGCGCTAAAAAGCAGTACTTTATAGAAGATCAATGCATTCCTGTCGATCGTTCTTAATTTACAATCTCAAATAATTCGAAATAAATTACCTTTATTACAGTGTATCTTTTTTCTAAAACTAAAATAGGAATGTATGTATGCGTGTTATATTCATTTTATTTTCAACTGAACTGGTAAATCGTACTTACTAAACAAAAATACATGTGCTTATGACACATTTGATGATTACAACGAAGTAACAACAAATATATACAGTCATAGAAAACAAACTCACATTTTGTGTACATTGTCCATTTATGGAACGATCATAAAATATATATCCACTTGGATAATTAGCAGGACATAAACGAGAATTCAAATTATTTTTTGGTTGGCAAACATGTCTTCTAGCAGTTGTATGTCGATCTAAATAAGGATGCATAGCCAAATAGTATTGTTTAGGTAAAGGATACCTGTAAAAATAAATAATAGGATGTGTATTTAATTTTCTAAGTGAAAATTAGTATGATAGATTTTATTGTTATTACGCCATTAATATAATAAAAACAGATATGTTGTAGTAGTCCAAGCTTTTTGTATCTTAGACATTGCTAACAATGAATATCCATAAATTCGAAAAGAGGTATTTCTTCAAAAAGTATTGAAAATCAGTTTATTTGGTGCCTAAACAAGAGAGAAAATCAAGTATTTTTATGTGATTAACCTAACGTCTATTTATTTATGTTTTCACAGATCTGAGCTATAAAGATTTCAATAAAATAAATTTCATTTATATCAAAAAAGAAAATCAGTTACGTGATGATTGACCTAAAATAACTCGTAAAATCTGAAACAAATTAGAAAATATTATCTCTGTCTAATCATTTAGTCGCCCAGAAATTAAACTGATTGTCGGATGAAATAAAAAGGCGAACAATAGAAATTGTGACTTAACGAATTTCAACAAAAAAAATAAAATTGATTACTGGCATAACCTTAAAACTTCTACCCGATGCGAATCAATTATAAATATTAACTCAGCAATGTCCCGGTTCATTCGTATGATTATGAGTTGGAAGATCATAACTAATGTCACAATAAATTTATCATTACCCAAATGAGTAAACAAGTATTCATTTAGACCACTCAGGTAATCTAAATGATAAAGCACTCGCTATGGTATCTAAATATTCTAAGCCTGATACCTGGTTCGGTTTTGGGTACATGTTGATACAGACTCTAGCATGAAATGATTTTCCAGTAGGCCCAAGTTTATGGCGCCTTGTCTGTTTGAATCATTTTCGTTATTAAACGGTCTCAAAGTTATTTAGACATTGAATACTTATTAAAATGGCATATATATACACTTAGATTATTTCCAGTACTGGTTGAGTTTTATCTAGTTTTTTGGATTCGTTAGTTGAGTACTGATATTTAAAACTTGATTTTGATCAGTTCATAACATATTTCAAATTGAATACGAATAGTTGTGGGACAAACTAATCGGACCAAAATATTCCAATCAAAAGTGTAATGAATTTTATTATTTGTGGATGACTAATTAATTGTAAACCCTTCGAATGCAAAGCCATATATGACAACTGGTCAGAATTCAACGAAGTGACAAGATGTGCGTTTGGTTTTGTGGTATATTTAGCATGTACCAGTCCAGAAAATAACTCCGCCTGTAGACCCTTCGGGGCTACTTCCGGTCCCAAGCCCGGATAAAGGAAGAGGGTTGGGCATGGGGTTTGCGACCTCATCCCGTCAAGAAACTAACTTGTCAAAAAAACGCTAACCAGAAGAAGTAAGTAAGTAAGCCCAGAAAATATATCACAAAGTAGTAGAAATCGTTTGACACAAATAATTCTAAGATCAATAGACGAAATCATTAACCAAAACGTAGAAAACCTTATCGAAATGAATCGGTTCCAGTTGGCTCAATTAAGAAAACCAGAATGGAAATATAATTAAAAAATAAGTAAGAATAAATGCTCAGATAAACTAACTCGGAAGAGGTTTTCAGAAATGGTGATTCCAAAAAAAGAAACAAGTTCTTTCAGTTAGTAATAATTCAGAGGCCTATTCATTCTATGCTTGAATATAAACACAATCAAAGGTACCAAACACAAATAATTTTTTTTTAAAATCTCTATCTGGTGTTGTTGTATACTTCATAATAAACATTTACAATTGTAAGATTACAGTACATTTATAATATCTAACTCATTAAAAAAATTTAACTTCAGTGGTTTCGTTACTTAGTAACGATAACTTCTTCAGAGGGTAAATACTGTAGTGTGTACCTGATATGTCGAGCCTAGATGGCTTGTCCCAGCTTTGTGCAAATTAACTATACATTGTTCTCTAGTTATTTACAATCCTATTTTTGACACTGTCAATCATTCGCTGATAACTTGCTTGTTCTTATTTCAGTGCATGTGTTCATTTTTTACATAGCTTATCGCTTGTCTGACTATTTTTCGTCGAACTATAAATACTTTATTATACCTTATCACATTCAATTAGATCATTTTCCTTCTCCATGCTGCTTCACTTTACTTTTATGCTTTATATTCTTATATCTATCTGTATGAACGATTGCATGAAATAAACTTATCTAACTGAATACGTATTTGGCTTCTTGTTAGCGTCGCTACACAAACGGGGTTCGCCTAAGCATGATATTCAGAGATTGAAGAGAAGATTTATTTCATTGTCTATTTGATTGTTGGTTCAAAATGAAGTTAGATCAAGGGTCATTAATATATGTATGTTATGACAAATATTATATATATATGTATATATATATATATATATATATATATATTAATTTGTAATACTTGTTCTTTTGAATATTTTATACTTATGTATACTCTTGTTTCAACTAGTTGCCGGAAACTGTCGAAATTCATAGTATGCTAATATGTTCTATACAACTTTTATAGTATGTATTTGGGAAACATGGAAAAAAATATCAACAAGAGAGATAATCTAGATCATTTCAAATGGAATAAAAATCTCATCCTTCTGAATAGTAAATCCTAGATAGATATTGAAAATATCGATTATTATCAGATTTTTTTTATTTTATAGTATTGAATCATTTCACTGACGTAAAACAATCATCATCATGTACTAGTCTGATTGTCTCTAACATATATATATACATATATATGAATAGGGAGACTGTTCCGGTTTCCCTTGAAACTATCAGCATATAAATTGTGGAATGCATTCATTGTAAGATCCATTTTTTGAAGGCTTTGTTTGTGAAAATCCCTCCATGTATACATTTGTAATTTGTCCTAACTGATTCCGTCAATTGTACATTTTGTTAGTCTGTTCGATGCCATTTGAGATGTACTGAGATGTATTTTGATATAGTTTCTATTTCTTTTGCCTTCAATGAGTTCCTGTGTTTCTTTCTGAACAGCATTTATGTTGTTTAGGTTGATAATTAGTCATGACGACAGGTATATTGATTTGTTCCTCTTTTGATTGTGTCGCTTGCATTGACTGGAATTGTGCATTTTGATTTCGAATTGAAGCACTCTTCCAGAATAAGAAGTAGTTCAACTCAAAGTACATTCATTCTATCATAAATGGCATTGAACTGTTGTATCTTCTTTGTTAGATGGTACATAACTCTGAACATCTCGAAAATACTTTAGATATTTACGGTATTTATAACTATAATAAGTGTCAAGATAAATCTACTTCATAAAAAATCTGTTCAATGAGATCCTATGAATGCTTCAAAGCACTGGATCATTATATCAAGAATCATTATTAATCACCTTAAAAAATAATATGAATGTGACCTTCAGCCATAATGACTTGTTCTGAAGACCAATTGTCTGGTTCGTACTACCAATCTCAATGACTGCAAAGACAAGGTAATTTAATTTGACCCAGTTTATCTAGCGTAACTTCTGTAAGTTAAATATAATTACAGTGCAACTAAGTCAACTAAGTCTATTGGTTCTAATGGTTTTAACTTCTGATTATCTGACTAAACAAAGTTCTTCAGATTAGAGATGGTAATAATGACAATAATGATTAGTGGAATAATATTTTCCATTATGTATCAATAGGTATGATCTTTATTAATTGAAGAAATTTGTTAGATATTGATTTTCAATCAATGGTTAACTACAGTATGTAAAGTTACCCGAGACTTCTTTATCAAACGAAAGTCAAAATTGTTAGTGTTTAAAGCATGGCACTAAATGTAACACATGGTAGCAAAATCAGGAGTTTTAAGTATCTGTAAGAAGTTTCATTTGGTTTTATACAACCTGTGTTCTACAGAGTGCAACAGATCTCTCAATATTTCAAATACATCACAATGGCTAAAATCAACTAGCCCAAAATTCATGGTTTCCTGTTGACTACAGCTAACTGTCTAATATCCTGATATGTTGCACGTGATTTCGAGTCAGTTATACCAGTCAAAACATTTCAATTCGTAATAATCAATTTTTTCTAGGTATCTCAGTCTCACAGTAGGTTAGTCTTGGACATACATTTCAGTGTTAATACCCCATATTATGAAGCTGAGTGACGTAGATTCAAATCTTACAATGAATATCGATTATCTCAAGGACACAGTTATCCTTTTCTAACGGAACCTAAATCCAGGGTTTCCTGTAAACCGATTTTTAACGACTTCACCAAATAGATTAGATACTTGTACAATATTTTTTTTATTAAAAAATTTCAATTCAATTGCTACGGTATAATTTAATGATAAAAATGATAGCTAAAAAAAACACAATAACCGGAAATCAACATTTGATTCATTTCACTGAAACCCTATTGTTGTTTATCAACATAACCAATAATTAAATCATCATTCATCATCACGAACTGTCAAAAAATAAAAAAAGACAAAGCAAACAGTGATCATTTATTATTATTTTTTTTTAATAATTTTAAAAATTAAACATTTAATTAAACTTTAATTGTTCAACTTGAGGTCATTGAATCAAACAAATATCAATTTCAAAAAACAGAAAAACAGAAAAAACCTGAACAATATGAAAAATCTGCATAAAATTATTAATCAACAAACAATTTCATTGTGTGTATTAAGTAAGACATGATCGGTTTTTTTTGTTTTAATTTTAATGAAAGCTGAGAAAGCACAGCTGTTATTTCATTCTTATTTAAAATTGATTGTCATTTCTTTGTTAATAAAAGCAATCGAAAAATGATTTGATGAATAGGTAGGTGTATATGATGAATTTCATAAATGATGCATTGAATTTGATCAAAACAGTTTGGAAAGACAATGGTCTCTCTCTACCCTCTCTCTCTTTCGATCTATCTATCCATATATATTCGACAGAATCACTTACTTAAGCTGTACATTCGGATCTTACCATGTTTTGTTAGTGACTAGTTTCGTGATGGAATTCTAGGAGTTCTCATCAGAAACTGTGACTAATGGAGTCCAGACATCCTGAGTATGAGGCAGTTACTCATCCAAGACCATAGATGACATCGCATAATATTGTGGAGTGGTTAAAGTTGGACATTAACACTGTTGGATCCCAACTCAGCGTTAGGTGTTCGAACCCGAGACCAAAGGTCCTGGGTACGACTTTCACTTGCGGGGTCGTAGGTGTGCACCACTGACGAGTTCCATATTGGGCCGTTCAGTGCCTTACAAATCTCTAGGTTAAGTAAACCCACCTGCAATGATCGACTTTCAAATTTTCTTAGCTGTATTCTATTAGGTAAAAAGCGAAATTTGATCCACTAGCACAATGTACTCCCATGATATGAAAGATGGTGAACTACTTCTATTTCGGCAGATACTCATGAAAAATGGCTATCCACCCAAATTCATCGAATGGAAAGTAAAATCAAGGTTGGGTCTTGATAGAGTGCCGACAGTTCAAAAGAAAAATTTTTTAATGAATATATGATTTCAAGGAAATACTACTACTACCCAAATCTTGAAAAACGGATTTCGAAATGCCTAAGTAAAACTTTCTATTCAGCTAAGCATTGTATTGTCTTCTTAGGTTTGCCTAATATTCATGCATATGTTAGTGATAAGCTTCCATATTTGGCCATGCCAGTGTGTATCTACAAATTTATCTGCCCCTGTTTGTTAGGTTACAGTGACCTCATAAAGGGATCACTCTCCGAAACCGTCTTAGAACATTACTCGATATGGTTTTTAAAAGAGGTGTGCATATCTATCAGCAGCTCAGTACAAGAGTATCTGGTCCTTAAAGTGCTTTGCTTTAAAGTAATATACACAGTTAAATAAATTGGACTAAATGGAGTTCGAATCAAAAGGTAATGCTCTGCTGAGGCATTTGACAGTTCACAAGTTCAAGCCCGTGCAGAAACTACACGTCCAACCTGTCATTCTTCTTTTTCCCTAATCCCCTTTTCAAGTATATTTGTTTTCTGCGTATTATTAACGGCATCTTTAAATCGTAATCAGTTACTAAAAGCCTGAATCAATTTTCGCGATTATTATTCACTTGTTATTGTGACCTTTGTGTTTTTCATTTTTGTATATTTGTTAAGTGAACAACTAACTATCTCTGAAATGTCTGACCTGTAAATTATTCTCACTCCCTATTCCGCTTACTCTTTTGATATTTGAAATCTCGAATCACTTTTCTAATGTAATCTCTCCTATCTATCTGTAGACCTATATATTCATCAAACAACTATAAACACAAATTTTCAATTAGGGTTATGGAGATTAGTGTTTTTACACATTTGAAATCATCAATCATTCATTGTTAGACCACGATTAGAAACCTGGAATCACCAGACGGCCGTTTCGTCCTGGTATGGACTCATCATCATCTTAAAATGTGCTCACTAGTGACTAGCTTCGTAAGGAAATTCTTGGAGTCCTAGTGAGAAGACGTGATCGGTGGAGTTCAACCCTAACAGGATGTAGGCAGTAACTACCATACACAAATGTCTGAGGTCGCGCAAAATCCCTAGATCAATCAAACTTAGACATTAACACCGTTGCATGCCGGCCCAGTGGTCCATAGGTTAGGCTTTCGCGAACAATACCGAAGGTCCGGGTTCGAATCCTGCGAGGTGCAAGAGTTGTGGATGCGCACTGCCACTGATGAGTTCCATACCAGGAAGAGACGGCCGTCTTTCAATGCCCCCAGGTTTCTAATAGTGGTCTAACAATGATTGATTGATGATTTCAAATGTGTATAGACACAAATATAAGATTTCGTCAAAAAGAAAATTTTTGTTACCCTTATTTATAAACATTAAGAATTAAATCTTTTTACCAAAACGATTTCATCTGCACCAAAATCAAATAAACGATTATCTGTAAAGAAAAAATTACATACCGACATGCTGTCTTAATGATTGTTTCAAGTGGTTTACGCCAATGTTGCATATTTGATTTTCTTGACGGATCCATTACAATTCCATTATCACTGTCTAAATGTTCCACATCTTCGTATTCTGGTAATAATCGAATATTTTTCACATTGATATGGACACTAATTCCAGAAGGATATGCCTATTGAAATAAAGAAAAGGGGGAATAAATCAGTGTTCACTATATTTTTCTGTGGTTCTTTATTCCTGTCCAGTTTTTGACAAGTAAAACACAAGTTGGTTTGAATCGAAATGAAGTTATCGTAAAAATTCTTATTATCTATATTGGAAAGCAAGTGAAACCATTGATAGAGTTTTTTTTACGTAGTTGTTGATATCTATGTGTAAGAGATTTTTTTCAATAAGAAGTAAAATAGTCCTCATAAAAATGTTTAGTGTAACCATATCATGCGTCATAGGGTTAGAATTAAAAAATACATTTTATCGTCTCTGATAGTCTACAGAAATTGGATAATTGGTGGCGTTTTCGAATTACTCCATTGACTAAAACCAGTCAATCTAAGTTTTGACAAGTAAAATGTATTAGTGAATTAAAAAATATCTAGACCTCTAAACAAATATCAATCAACACCAAAATCAGGATTTTCAATACAAATGTCAAGACAGTTCTATTGTATGGAGCGCAAACTTGGCGAACTACCAAAGCCATCATCTAGGAGATACAAGTGTTTATTAACAGTTGTCTACGCAGAAAACTTCGGATGCGTTGACCAGCAACAGCTTACTGTGGGAAAGAACAAACCAGATTCCAGTGGAGGAGGAAATCAGGAAGAAGCGGTGGAAGTGGATAGGACACACACTGCGAAAAGCACCCAAATGCGTCACAAGACAAGCCCTCATTTGGAACCATCAAGGTCAAAAGAAAAGAGGAAGGCCAAGGAACACATTACGCCGAGATATTGAGAAAGACATGAGGAAAATGAACAAAAATTTGAAAGGTCTGTAAAATAAGCCCAGGATAGGGTTGGTTGGAGAAAACTGGTAGGTGACTTATGCTCCATTAGGGGTAATAGGTGTAAGTGAGTAAGTATAACGATTTGACGAAATCGTAAAATAAAGATAACAATCCTACAGTAGCTTTTCTCGTTTGGTATGTATGATCCAAGCGGTTTATATTCATCAATTCAGTTTAAATGGTTACAAGTCACTCTTTCTCCATCCATTTCGCCTAACAAATCGTTTATGTCAGTAACGTATTTTTAATGCTCAGAGTGAAAAAAGATACCGATTGGTGGAAAAGCAATAGTTAACTTGATGATAGCGTTTTGATTTTGGTAAATAGAAGTAGCTAATCATTACTTATTTTGCAAATATAATTTTCATACACCAAAAATTTTTGGATATCTGATAGTTTGTGCTATCATAACTACAAATCCGTGTATATATGATTTTTTTGCGGAGTTTCAGCAGCTGTGTTTCGTTAACTCGTAATGACCTGAACTCAAATTATTTATTCTTATAAAATGTTAGTTCACTTTATCAGTATGTTCTATATTTTTGTGGGTGTCTAAGAAATTTCAGTAGTGCTACAATTGTTTTGTTTTGCTGAAATTCTGAGCTAATCAATGTTAGACTACCATTGAAAATCTGTAATCGCAGGACTGTCGTTACGCTTTAGTATGGGACTCATCAGCAGTGAATACCCTCGACCTCATAAGCTTGAAATGAACAGAAGACCTTCAGTTTCACGCATAAACACTTAAAATTTGAACCACTTAGTTGGTAATCAACAATGCTAATATCTAACTTCAACCAACCCACGATATGTATCAATCTCATCTATTGTCTTCTACCGACATGCCTGAACTCTACTGGATACGGCTTCTTATTAGAACTCCGAGAATTCCCTCTCAAAGCTAGTCATTAGTGAGCTCATGATAGTCATCTCAACAACTCTATTGTTGAGTTAGAAGCTGCTTTTCAAGCCATGGATGATACACACTGATCAGATTTCCTATACTAGAATAAAAAGGTCCTGCATTGCTTCCAAATTGTTAATGATAGTCTAAAATCAGTCGCTTCATTTGATTATTAAAGCAAGTTGCCTTGTTTCTTTCTTAAACTCAAATACTTGTAAATCTATAAATACTAAGAAATGTAACATTAAATCTCATTCAGTTTTGAAATGTTCAGAGGAACGGTTAATTGTCATAGCTAATGTACCATGAAAAATGACATAAATTACTTTAAAGAAAAATGCACATTCCATACATTGTTTAAATTAGCATATTCAATGATCAATATATGTTTTTCATACGTAATCTTCAATTATGTTTAAACTTAAGATTAAAAAATTTATGATGATACATTTACTTCATTAAATTAACAATAATAAAGAATTGAAAATCGTCTAATGAGTTTTTAGAGGGAAAAATGACATTTAAAATAACGACGGTAAATAAGATTAATAAGGCATAATTTAATACTGAAAAGGATGAATTTACCGGAAACAGAGGCGGGTCTGTTCATTTCTTTGGAAAAAAATATGTCAAAATGTTTTAGAAGCCAGTGAAAAACGAGAAGAAAATAATTAAAATATCGGGGAAATGTCCTCTAAGAGATCTGTCAGCTAAACAAACTTGGTTTTGCGTGTTGATGTCCTAAATGAGAGCTTAAATTTGTACTTTTTGATTCAATTTTCAACTGACCATCTACTGAGCTAATGAATCCAGCTATCTCCTTATATGTCCAGCAGTTTTGATAGTGAGTACTTGTCAAGGCTTTTATTTTCCTATTATCAGTATTCAGGACTGAATTTTAATCAAACGATATCTGAATATTAACTAAGACTATAGAAATGATGACTGAGACAGAACACAATTTACTCTTGATCGTTGACAATCGAAAAACCTAAACCCTTATAAATTATATCTCAATATTTTATTCTGAAAATAATAAGCTGCTGCCCCAAAAAGTGTCAGCTTGGAGCGATTTCAAAAAATTTACTTCGTCGGATCTCATCCAATTAAAATTTTTTACTGAAATTCGTTTGACTGTACACTGTTTCGTTGCCTTTATTTTCATGTGAACGTCATAAGGTATTAACACACAAATTTACTTTAGGGATAACAGTTTAATCTCCTGATCTATAACAAATTAGACAATGTAGTGGTGAAATCAGTAATGGATGATATAATACGTACGTCAGGTATGTTGATGATTCATTTGTGGCTTGTGATGATTATCAACATGCTTCTCATTTACTGAAACTTCTTAATATGGCATACGTAAATTTTAGATTCACAATGGGACATAAACATGACAATGTGTTTCATTTTCGAATACATATTGTCGAATGAAAAGATATGTTTATAGAAAGGACACATGGATTTTCAATTTCATCACCTTCTATCAACAGACTACAAAATAGCCTTGATTAGAAAGTTTTTCAGTCGAATCAGAAGATTATGCTCAGACGATAAAATTGATGAGGAATTAGCCATAGTTGAACGTTGTTTACCTAATAATGGACACCTCAAGTGTGGCAAGACTGAAGTAAAAGGACATGTAGTATGTAGCGGTAAGGAGAAGCCTAATTTGTTAAAAATTGACTTCAAGTCTGATGAAATAGCAAGAACGATTGGCTTCGGATTAAATACTATGATACACGAAGACGTATCCATATACCAAAATGATTTATCTGTATCGCGTGTATTGCTCATTAAGGCGGTCATTTGTGGACAACTTTCAGCCTTTTGTTATTTCTGATTGTATCTTCCAGTTTAAATGTAGGTGCCGTAGCACATACATCGAAAGAACAGAGATGAAGTTAAGTTTCTGCATCTCTGAGCACATCTTACGGAAGTTTAGACTACAATACGTCTTCAGCAATGTAATTGTATGCCATATGCTTCACGAGGTTGATATCTCATACTCCTTCAAGATGATTAATAAACAAAACACATCGAATTTTCCAAGGTATTCTGAAGATTTAGATCGAATCGGTGCATTTTAAAAAAGAATTTGTTAAAAATCTTTTTTTGCATTGGTAACCTCATTTATAAGTGGTTCTTACATAATTATTTAGCATTAAAGTATTCCCTCTATTACTCCCTAATGCTTGTTTATTAATTTATATTGATGAAGACTTTTCTGTCATTATGATATAAAGCATTTACATCGATTTTTTATTGAGTAATAATATTATCATTAAAATCATGAACCGGTCAATGTTAGATAATCATTGGAAATCTGAAAGCACTGGACTATCGTTTTGTCCAAGTATGGGACTAATCAGAAATGCACATCCACGACTCCCCGAACGGGAATCGAATCCAGGAATTTCGATCTCAAGAATTTAGGCCTTCGTGTGAGATACCAAAGGTCTATATTATGTACTTATATGTTGATCTCATGTTAAGTGTTCATTCCGCCGGACAAACAACTTAGTTTTTTCTCAAGCAATCATTCATAAGTCTTTTGACATTGTCAATGATTCGCTCAGAATCTTGGTTGCTTCAACGTTAGTGTGTGCAATGCTTATCACATGTGTAGCTTATAAATATAAATAGTCAGTCATGACCCAACGCATCGAGCTGGACCACTCGCATTCTCTGCTTTGCTTCACTTTCCTTCCACACTCCTCGCTCTCAAGTCTTTCTATTTATGGGAGTGAATGAAATAAATTCATCCAAAATAATCCTTATCGTGCTTTTAATAACTACTTTTACACAAAAGGAATAATCTACGGCAATTAAATGAAAATTTATCTCGTAGTTTATTCATTTGTTCGTCCAAATTAGAATGAGGTCCCGGGTCCTTAAAGCCATGGGTTCGATTCCCTCTTGCGAAATCAGGGATACCCAGGGCTGATGAGTGCTCTAATTGGGCGAAACGACCGTCCAGTTCTTTCAGGTTTCTTATGGTTGTCTAACACAAGTCGGTTAATGATTTCCATGGAACGTAACAATCTGTACAACCCTATAATGTTTAGGTTGCATGCAGCTGACAAGAAACCGAGAAAGAGAGATCATGTCATTCTGTCACGTTAACTATTCTTGATTTATTTTAAATGATGTTTTGTTTCATCTTCAGTTGAAAGTGTTTAGTTCAAATCACTGAACTGTAGGACTTTATTCTTCAACATTATGACCTATTTTTTTGAATCTAGCTGAACCGAAA